GCCTTCGGCCTCAGTGCTGTGCTTCTTTTTTCATGTCCTCCCTGCCTACTCTGCCTTGTTGGGTACGTTGATCTCCCTTTTGCTGTTTCTTTTGCTGTTATATAGATCGCTGTCTGCCCATCTGCCGCCTCTTTGCTCTGTCGCCTCCATTACTCCCATGCCCTGGTGCGTAGTGCCTGATGCTGGTACGGTACCCGTTGATTTTTTTAGGCGGGTATGGGAAGCGTCCTCCTTTTCCCGTTAATATTTTTGCCTTTTTTTGTTTGTTTTATTTTGATCGGTTTCCTAGGGCTCCTTTTCTCGACCGGTCGGTGCGGTAGCTGTTCTTTTCTTTCTATCATTTTGTTTTCTTTTTCCGAGTGGTTTGTACTCTATTCTTGTTTTGTTTCCCCGCGGCGTCATATGTGCCGGGTTTTGCGACCACGGGCTCCCCATTTTTGTGGACTAGACTATAGAGCTAATGTGAGAGAAACAACAACAACAATGTAGAGTGGTATTTTTCTTCTCCGCCCCAAATCCTGGAGTCGGCGCACGACGAACAGCATGTCGATGGTGGATCGCCCAGGTCGGAACCCGCATTGTTCCTCCGGGAGGATGTTGTTGCTTTCGCAGAAGGCGCTTAGGCGGTTGGTGATGATCTAGATGGAGACCTTGCCTACGTGAGATAGGAGCGAGATCCCCCTGAAGTTGTTGCAGTTGGACCGGTCACCCTTCTTGTACAACACCTTGATGGTCTGGCACCGCTCCCAAGCGTCGAGTGGCACGTGTCGCCGGTCGCTGCGTCACTTGTTCGATGATGTCTGGGTTCAGGGTGGTGAACTTGGTGTTGAGGAGGGTGCCGAAGAATCTCGCCCATCGCTGGAGGATGTCGTTCTTTCTCCGGAGCAGGACGCCATTCTCGTCCGCAACGGGCTGCTGTACTCCCGCTTGTCTCCCACTGAGCCCCGCTGATCTCTTGAGGTGTTGGTAGAGGCCTCGCATATCGCGGTCCTTGTAGATCGCTTCGAGTCCCGTCACATATCTGTCCAGGTGGGCATATATGCTCGTTTCGACTGCTGCGGCCACTCCCTTACACGCTGCTTTGAGGTGCCACCGAAAAAAACAGACCCCACCCCACAACCAATCATTGACCTGGCAAAAGTACGGCATTACTTCGTGCATTACCCCATTACCCCTCCCCCCCCACCCATCCCCCCCCCCCCGGTGTTTGCCATCGGGGTCGGGTTTTCGTTACTTGGCAACGACGTTGTAGAACACGTCGATCACTTCGTGAACTCGGCAACCACGTTGTTACCGCTTTTGTTTTTGCCATTGTTTTCTTTTTGCGGTAAATTACTACATACAGTACGGCCGAGAAGATTGTTCTGTGCGGGGTTCGAGAACCCTCACTCCGGGCAAAGGGAATGATCCCACCACGTTGTGTTGACTTGGCCAAGCACCCTCGAGGCAGTTACTCAGTGCTTACTTATGACTGTCTCTGTAAGTGCAAGCACCAGAAACAAAATAAAGTCATTCGCAGCTGTCGCCCGTATGCAAGGAAGTAAGCACAAGATGACGAACACCCTTAGCAGGATGCAGCGTGCCCCCCATGCGACTCGCCGAATACCTCACGGCGCTTCGCGCTCGGTTGTGGGAGCCTGGTCCGGGGAGCACCCGGTGTGGTCCGCCCCGGCTTTGTGAGGATGTGAGGGCATGATCTAACGACTACGGCATGCACGACTCCCCCACCCATTTATGTTTCTTCCCCCAGCCCCTCCTCAACGTGGTACTGTGCCCCGCTTCTTCTGCCTGCGTGATCAATATAAAATGTACAGAAGAAGGCATTAACGAGTGGTGCCCGGCAAACGAAATTTTGAGTATACTCTCTCCTACATTGGCACAGTGAAATCGGCGATTCCAAGATGGATTGTGGGGGTCCCATCAGTTTGAGGTTGTTGTTGAGCGACTCTAATTTTCACTTATATTGGGAGCGGGAGGATTCGGTGATACCAGAGGCATCATGCACGCAGGACCAGCACTAGCACCAGCAGTTACCTCGAGAAGAAGGTGGCAGCGACAGAAATCAAGGGAACATTCGCTGGACGGTCAACTTGATGACAAGGGTACATGCACCAGCTGGTGCATTGAAAGCAAAAAATTGGTCAGACGGCAGATTGCACGGCGAGCAGACAGAGTGGGGGGGGGACGTGATATCTCTAGTTCGGATTCCCGGGTCAAAATTACTCTTGCTAGCGCAACCGAGTGTTTTGATATCCCGCTGCTATCCAGCCATCCACGAACAACAACAGCCAGTTATTGATCCTGCTTTCACATATCAACGCAAGAGTCCATGCATGCCGGCTGCCAAAATGCGCCCAACAATGAATGAAATGTAATGGCCAGGTGAGAGACAAAGCTGCAAAATAGAATGAAAGAAATGAAAAACGGAAACATGAGGAGGGCACCAGACGCAGTAATCACGCGGCAGAAACAATTGAGTATTGCGAGGCAATGGGATGTAGGCCACGGGGTATTCAAACATCAGTATGTTGTTTTGGCGTTTCCTCCCTCTCCGGCTGATGCCCTTTGTTGGAGACAAGCCCTTTGGTGGAGGCAACATGAACACCGAAGACTTCCACACGCTGGTGTATGCAAGAATGCCCAATGCAAGCAAAGACGTAAGTAAGAGACCCATTTCTGAAGCAGTGACGCAAGCAAGTGTTCATACTGCCCGACGCATCGATCCGAGGGTGTGTGAGTGAATCGAAAGAGCAGTAGAGAGACTAATCCATGCCGGCCGGGTGCAGCCCAACTTGCCCAACACCAATTGAGCTCACTCGAGGAGAACGGCCCGTCCCCCATTCACGGAGCACGCGAGGCGTCACTGATCGGTCCCAGGCCCCCTGAGCACGGTCCCTTGACACAAGGGCGACCGGCAACACTGTCCGCACGGCCGCAGAGCGAGTTCTCCAAGATCTGATGCCATGCTTTGACACCGTGCTTGACGCCACGGGGAGCGAGGCTGGGCCTTCCCCAAAACCAGCGACCAGCAACACACGCCTCTCACGCACCTGAGCCCGACGCTCGAATTGCCCACCTACCTGCTGCTAGAAAGGGGTCCCTATCACAGCCCGTTCTGGGAGCTGGGGGTTGGGGGCCATTCGTGCTTCAAGCCGAGGTAGAGCGAGGAGTGGAGGCTGGACTCTCCGCAGTTCGAAACAAGCGGGTCCGCAGTCAGGTTTCTCGGGCCATAGCCATTTAATCGACAATTGCCTTGCTGCAACAGCTCCCGGGTTCATGAGAGGCACCCGATAGCCTCTTTGAAGCAGTATCGTTGTAGCGACCGTGTGACGGAATAACCGTAGAACTGCGTTCATGTATGGACGTGTGACCACGTGATATTGTGACCATGCAACCGTGTAACCGTGAAACTGCTGTGCACTCGGCCCCGATCGGTGTGTCGATATGTCGAAGGATATGAAGAAGGAGAGAACAGGTACTATTATCCGACTTAGTCAGCCTTTGGTTTGCTTGGCACACTCCGAACAAGTCTTGGAATATACAGTTCACTTTCGTTGGAACACGCAGATGATCAGCGCCGCCGCAGTGAGCCCGCAGTGAAACCTAAATCGCAGGCCAGCCAGCACGAAGTAATGTTGAATGCGCCATATTTTCGCTTGTAAAGAGACATCTTTACCTCTCCAGGAATTGACACGCTGCCCAGTTCATTCGCGAGGCGAACGATGCTGAGGTATAGAGCTGGGTTGAGAATGTGGACAGATCAACCCAAAACACTAGCACATGTGCGAAGTGCAGCCGCGCAATGACTTCACGGGCTCGATAACCAGACTATTTTACTAAATTCTATGATTGTTAGCACTACACGGTCGTGTTGAGCCCACTCTCGCCCATGCGTAAAGTGGTGAAATGTTTCGCCCCACACACGTGGAATGGTTTTACCAAATGAAAATTGGAGGGGATTATCGAGAGAGGGAATGTATATCTAAAAAGCGGTGGGAGCAAGACACTCTCTCTCAAGACCACAGCAGCAATATGTTTTTCTGCTTCCAGTGCGGCCTCCAGTTCGCCTTTCGTCTCCACTTTGGAGAAGAATGGCATATGGTGTACGGGATCCCCCCCCCCTACCTTTTTCAAGCACAGAGGTATGGGGAGGATAGGACCTGCGACCAAATTGTGGACAACAAGTGGAGGGGTGGAACAGCGACCGGCCTCACTTCTTCTCGCTGAACTAACACAAATGCGGCAGCGTTTCGACCCTCACTGTTAGGTTCAGAGGTCCCAGGCACAAACGCACGAAACCACAAAAAGGCCCCTCCAATAACCGGCTAAAACCTGCCTTTGAATTACTTCTATGCTGTGAGGAATGACATATCCTACACTTTTCTCCTGCGGAACACGTCGAAATCCATTTGTCTATTTTGCCGATTGATGCGTACATCGATGCAATACGCACTCGGGAATACCAACTGGCAAACGTGCTCCTCCTGGAAGAGGAACATGCTTGACTCGACAGTGAAAATGGTACCCGTACGCGCGCAATGACCGATTTTTCTTCTGCGAAACGGCGGTGGCAACGTGAGCGGAAAAATATGCAAAACGAACGGCATCTACAGTAGTGGCAACGTGAGAATAAAAAACATCGTGACGTTTTCGCCCTTGCCAATCAAACAAACAATCTTCATCCTGTCTCTGCCTCTGGGGGGGGCGACTCCCGATACAACTGTTCTCCGTCCCTCCTCTCCCGCTTGAATAACACCACCATGCGGAAATTGAAACCCTCTGGTCGCCACTTCTTCACTCTGGATTATTTCTTCACTCGGCCGATTTCTTCACTCGGCCGATATATTTTTTCAATAATAATAAAAAAAAACGCGGCGGAACTTTATGACTTGGATGGTCACCCTGAATGTGAAAATTCCCCCCTCCTCTCACACATACCACTGCTGTACCTACACTCACCCGGTTTGTAACTTCTGCTGCTTGGGGCAGTGATCGTCGGCATGGCTTCCGAGGTGGGTGGTTGGCTCCCTATGGGATCGTTGCCCTCCACGTAGAATCTCAGCGCTGCTTTCCCATGCGCCTGCAGTTGTGTGTGCAAAATATCACATTTGGCCTCCTCTCTGTCTACCTGTCTGTCTACCTGACTTGCACGTGCTTCTTTCCTCGCTGTGAAAAAATCCCAGGCACAGGCACACAACGATGGCAAAGCGCAAGGCTCGCGGGCACAACATCGTCGGAACGCGAGGTCGGGACAGGGCATCATTGAAGCCAATCGCAAGGTGGGATAGATTGCCATAGCGCCTGGGTGTCAGAGTTCGGCAGAGATATGGCTGATGGAAAGAGACAGCAACACTTGAATCACGATCCTCGGCTGCTGCCGCTGTGATCGGCAGCTATGATCGGCCGCTGTGATCCGCGGCAGATCACACATCGCCCACAGCAGAAATTGCAGCGGCTCACGCCATAACTTTTCTCTGTCTTCATCTTGCGTACAAGGGGCAAAGACACGTCTACAGGTGTTATCCTTTTTTGGTAATCCCTCTAGCATGTTCAGTTGGTCACAGGAAAGCCAATTTTGAATTTGAAATATTTCTCAGCCGTTGTGGTTCCTGTCGGAAATGAACTACGGAGCCCCAGGTGACCCCTGTTCAAGATGCTCTTTAGACTATCAATTTCCTTCATGTCTTCCTACTGCCGTCCAAGTCAAGTTCATACTTTCAAGATTGGCTGGAGGTGGTAACCTGGAAAACCACATTATTATTATCCTTCCCTACGACAGACAACTCAGACAGACACAGCTCTTGTGCATCTCTACAATAGTCTATGTAATGTGAACGGTTATGACATTCCTCCCAACTGCAATGCGTACTGCTGACCAACGTTCCCTTTTTCGTGCTTGCTGTACATTCCTCCGCAAAGCAGACCGCAATCTGCAAGCATTGGCTCCAGGGGGTGTGCCCATTTGGTGGTGAGTGCATCAATACTGAAAACTGAAAACGTTCCCTGTACGTGCGGTGGCATCCACTCCCACCTCCGCCAGCCAGTCACATTTTTTCATCCAGATGCTCCGAAATATATAGCACAGCACATATTTCTGCATATTTTCTCCCGCATGCCTGTCCCCTCCTCCAAATCTATGGACTCTCACCCTAGAGTTAGTTGTCTCTCTCAGTACATAGTCGAGTCATTGTCAAGCAGTATCTGACTCGACTTGATTCTCTCTTGTTCTGATCGGATGCTGCACGAGCAGCCAGGTGCGCTTTTGCACACGGTGCGAAGGAGCTGAGGAATGCGACCGCGAAACCGTGAGTGAAGTATTTTACCCGGCGTGTTTCCATCATGCGTCGGGAAAGCGTATTGCTAAAGAGCGGCAGAAGCCCGTACCCCTTCCATAGTCCAGTGTTCCATACAATGTTTTTCATTTTACTCGCACTGAGTTGTCGCAAGAAACTTTAGAAACAGCGCGCGTATTCGGTGCATGCACTACCAGCTCTCGCGCGAACGACGAGTGTGCTCCTCCGACGTATGATCAATCACACGTTCTGCACGACGGTTTCCTCTTTTTGCGGTTATCCTCGATGCAAGCAAGAAAAACGCGAACATTCTTTGCCCTCGCTCTTTGCTTGGGTTTGACGCTATCGTGTACCGCAACCATCGAACCACGGAACGTTCGTAGCTCTCCTCCTCCGGAGACGGTCAAGGCGAAACATCTCCAAAGTTCGGCTTCTAGAGATGCGACGACATCCTGCTCTGAGCCGAGGTAAGTCCACCTGCCACGAACCAGAGACATTCACAATAATGTCATGCCTTTCTAATGGCCGGAAAAATCAAGAGTGAACTGGACGAAGTTGAGAGCTACCGTATAATGAAAAACTTGCCCCATTTGTCGCGGAAGGGAAGGATATTCGTCGACTTGGCCTTCACAAACTCAGAAAATATGATAATTAGTTTAATAAACATCCCATATATGCAGTTAGCGAACCGGCGTCCGTCGTGTTCGACGGACTTGTCGGCGCCTCGAACCCATGAAAACCGTGGCCCACTCAACCTTCCGTGTCACCTACCCCCCTTGTCCAACTCCAAACCAGGACGACATCGCCTATTGTTTTTTCTCGTTGCCGAATGTTCTTCTTCGTTCCCTCTGCATTCCCAATCTCGCCGTCGACGTTCTTCAGGTGCACGGTTCACCCCGGTGCGTTCAGCGATGGCGAGTCATGGCTGCTGGAGGCCAAGTCTCCGGTGACGGATCAAGGCTCCCGTGACGAGGACGGTCATGGTCACCGTGGCGTGTGGCTCGAGACCCGCGGGCACTCTGCCGGCGGCAACAACGTGGGTCAAGTCATGCACCTTCAACAATGGTCTCCTACAGAATAGCAGTAGGTTGCTGTCTCGTGGCTGCGTGGGTGTTTTCCCTTGTGATGAGTATTGTTCGGCTGCGGCACGTCAACCTGGATGCATCACGCCTTGTCAAGGTCGTTTCGACCCATCACCCAATGCTACAGCTTCGAAGAATGACACGACGCGCCTGCCTTTCGTAACAATGTGCGGCAAAGCCTCTCTAAACTTCGAATTGGGGAAAAAGTCACATCGTAGTCTGATGAAAAGCCCAAACGACGACGCTGACTTTTGATGACGCCACCCCCTTGTGTTTTTCTGATGCCCCGTGCGAATTCTCCCGGAATGTTCAGGGCTGTGCACGCTTGCCGCTGCAAGAAATAGGCACCAACAACCAACCTCGGGCTCAAGACGGGTACGCCCGTTCTGGCTAGCTCCGCCTCAAAGCAACACAACTTGAAGTTGCTGATCGCAGAAAAATCTGTGGTTTCGGTGTCGATTTTTAAGCGTACATCTGCGTAGTAGAGACGGCTGCAGTTGTAGGACGAAACCCTAAAAAAGCACCCACAACGTGGAAAGGAGAGTGCGAGAACGGAACATTTGGCGAAACTCGTAAACGCGATGAAAGTGGTGGAGGCTTCCTTAAACTTGATCACCAACCCCAGTCGCTTACCTGTCGCCGCTCCGTCCGAAAACGCCACCTCCGCGCCCAGGGATACCTTCTCCCTGTGGCAGTCCCCCAACACCATCCTCCAGAGCCCTATCCGAAGCCTCGGCTTGGCCGGCAGCCGAAGCGACAACCACCACCACCACCACACCGTGACCCCGCCCGCCGCCGCTCAGCCTTACCTGCGGGGCACGCTGCGCGAGAACGAGAGCTGGGCCAAGATCGCCCAAGGGACGCCCATCCACGGACGCGAAAATGATTGTGCCCGCGCATCGAACGTCACCGCCGCCACCACCACTACCACCGCCCCGTCCTACTTTTATGGCGACGAGCACTGCCGCAACGCGTTTCGGGAGACCAAGGCGCACGCTGCCGGTCCTGCGCCGTGCTCTTCGGGAGTGGTCTGCCGCTGCCGCACTCGATCCAACCGGGACACCCCTCGCGCCGTCGGTTGTGCCGCCTCGTTCGACCCTGAGCCAACGTTTGCCACCACCGGTGAGTGGAAAACGCACAAATGTCTCCCGGGAGACTAGAGCCTCTACCGTTACGCAAGGTCTCACAACAAATTCTACCACCAGTGTTGTATGCTCGTCGAGAAGCACCGCTACCCCGCCAGAGTATGTATCTCTCGTTGTTCATCTTGGGAAAAAAGCATCGATTAAGCTGGGGTGGAACATAACGCCTTATTCCATGCCAACTAGCACGGAAGAGGAAGAGCAAGACGCCAAGGATCCAGGTCAGCAGAGGTCCTCAATGTAGATCGTCTAGAGCAATAAAAAATCCCAACAGCCAGGTCTGACCCCCACTCCTTACGTTCGTTCCGTCCACGCGATAGGCCTGGCCTTCAGTCCCCGCGGATGCAGCAGCAGCCCCGCCCCCCTCAACCTGGGACCCCCCTCTGCACCGCAGCGCAGTTCCACCGCAGCGCCTGCAGCAGCACACCGTTGGAACCCGGTCACCTACAACGGTTCTGCGTTGTTAGGCTCGTTCGCTTCGTCCTTGCAAGAGAACGCGGAAGCGCGCAAGCCCAGCCCTTCCCCGGCACCGATCCCTCGCCACGAGATGGACGACCTCCTTGGCAGGATGATGTCGGTGCTGTCGCTGGACGTCTCCCGCTCGAACGATGATGATGCCAGCCGCGACGTTGGTCCGAGCGTGCCGCAGTCTTGGTATGATCCCGTCCTGCTGCGGCCGGTCGGGGAGAAGGAGCCGGCACGCTTGAAGACGGCGCAGCAACAGGGTGGCCCATCGGGGGACTCTTCACGCCCCGACCAATCGTATCGCAGCGACAGGTGAGTGAAAGGACTCCTGCACATGCGGCATCGGGGTGTTGTATGTCGCCAGAGGTGTAGCGCAGGGTACCATAGAGCCGGGAAAGCAGCGGACCGGGTGAAGAGCGATGCGAGTATTTCACCACTTTGAAAGCTGTTCGAAGGACTTGAACCGGATGGGCTCGTTGTCGGATCTATCGCCTCATATGTTCCGCTTTCGAATGTTCCGAAAGGTGGGCGGGTCCACGGCCAGGCGCAAGTGGACGATCTGTCATGCACCCGAAACACACCTTGACAAGCATTCGCTTCCCCGAGACGATTTTAGTCGATCCAGGTTGTAGCTGCACCGCATATTTCACGTTCGCTGACAAGATGCTTCGCCTCCGCGTGTGCTGGACGTATGGCTGTTTCGGGCCCTTTCAGCCTCGGCAAGAGCGTAGCGCCGGACAGGGACAGCTTGGGCACGTTTACTACCTCCGCAGACGCCTTCAGCATTCCGAGCATCGGTTCGATTCTGGAAGAGAAGTGGCCGACCGTTCTCCCCGCTGGGCGAGGTCTGAAGGTATGCCAATACGATGTGGGGCTCACTGCCATAGGTCTTTCCTTGTTGTGAAGGAAGATCATCTCAGTACCACCAACGTGGCGAGCAAAAGGTCCTATTATTCGGGTGCATGGAACAACAGCAGAGAGAGATAATCTCCGAATCTCAATACCAAACGATCAGATATGTCTTGCCATGATTTCGTCCGCCTTGTTTGGGTTGGTTCGATGTGATGGGTGACAAGTCAGCCATCCAAAGCAACAGTGCATCCCATGGCGCCCACCCCTACCCTTCATTTAGACCCGCAAGCAAAGTTTGATTCGGTGGATGTGTCGCCCCCCCTCGACACCCATGGTTGTTGCA